AGAGACGCACATAAGATTTGAGGAGAGAGAAGCAAGTACTCGCCCTGGTTCCCAAACCAAACATCCAAAACCGGTTATGAGTAAAAAAAAAGTGATTTTATTTAATGTCAGGAAGCATAGCTGAACCCAGGCCAAAATAATAAACAACATCAACTAAGTCCCGCCAGAGGAAACTAACTAAACCCTAAGAAAGAAACAAAACAAACAAATGACATCAACTATCCCTCGCTTCCTAGCCCCGAAACAGGAGAAAACAGTTCAAAAGAAAAGGCGGCTCATCCCTTCAGCTTCAGCCTTTGCACGCATAAGCACTGAGTTTATGCCCACAAATGGCGGCTCTCACAGAGCACGCTTACACGTATTCAAAGTAATCCAAAAAACAGTTGGAAACCAGGGCCAGGTCTGCGTCTGCTGTCAAAACTGCTCGCTCGCTTCTCTCTCTCTCCCGGCAGCTGTCAGAGCGGCTTTTTGAAAGCAGTCACGTGCTCCATGGTCCAATCAGCAGCTCACTGCTCTTCATTAGGGGAAGGAGCTGCAGAGAGTCTTAAGACACAGTAAAAAGACAGAAACACAGCAGCTCACACAGACTTCTTATGGCCACAGGCCGTAACAGTGGGTGTGTCCAGTCACTGAGTGTTCAGGAGTCTGACGGCTTAGGGGAAGAAACTGAATGGTAGTCTAGTCGTGAGGCCCCGGATGCTCCAGTACCTCTTTGCAGAAGGCAGCAGGATGAAGAGTGTGTGTGAGGGGTGTGTAGGGTCCTCCATGATGCTGGTGGCTTTGCGGGTGGAGCAGTTGCTATAAGTGTCCGTGATGGAGGGAAGAGAGGCTCCAGTGATCTTCACAGCTCCTCTCACTATCTGTTGTAGGGTACTGCGATCTGATACGGTGCAGTTACCATACAGACAGTGATATAGAATGGGATAGGAAGGGGGAGGTTGTTCCACAAATTAGGTGCAACCAGGGCAAATGCACGCTCACCTCTGGTCTTAAGCAGAGATCTAGGCTGTACCAAGGGTAATTGGGCTGATGATCTGAGGGGTCTCCCAGGGGTGTATGGTCTGAGGCAGACCTTCCCAAAGTGTGGGGCCC